TCGAACTGACTTGGTAACTAATTCCTCTTCATTTGAGCAATATCTTAAATAAGTCCAACACATGTTTATGAGAGACTGCACATTATGGAGGAGCTGGCCAAAGCCTCTTTAGTAAGGAGTACTAGCTCTCTTGATAATATGGAGAAAGAAACTGGCCCTATAATGAGTCATTATAATTTTCTGCTAAGAGTATGGGATGTCTATAGTTATTTCTCTGGGGGCTCTGGAAATTTATTCGCCCAGTTGGCTTTGAGAAGAAAGAGAGTGCACTGTTTGATTTAATGAATTTCATGGATTTGTTGACATTTCTTAAAATGAGCCAGATAACTTGACTATGGTCACCTGGTCATGGAAGGATCCCTTTCACAATAGATCTTAAATTTATTTCCATTTAATATACTGTTTATAAAACTTTAAAAATATCATTTCCAGTTTATTTCTTTATTATTGAGACCTGGCAAGATTAGTTATGATGGATTTTATTATATCTTTTCCTTTATTTCAAACATAGGAATATCATGTTTGATATTATAGCATTATAGGCTCACTGTAAAAGCTCAACAATAAATAAATATGTAAAGCACACTCTCAAACACACATAGAGCAATTGATTCTTTTTTGTCTCCAATAAGTTCTGTTTTAATATGTATCTTTTTATGTAAAGTCTAGGTCACATGAGCTTGTTAGATATTTGTTACATAATCTTGTTAGATTATCTGTTACATAGCCTTGTTAGATTATTGCCTAACCCATCATTCCCATCCCAAAAGATGAGATTCATTGTCACTTTTTTGCGGTATGCGGGCCTCTCACTGTTGTGGCCTCTCCCGTTGCAGAGCACAGGCTCCAGACGCGCAGGCTCAGCGGCCATGGCTCACGGGCCCAGCCGCTCCGCAGCATGTGGGATCTTCCCGGACCGGGGCACGAACCCATGTCCCCTGCATCAGCAGGCGGACTCTCAACCACTGCGCCACCAGGGAATCCCTACTTAAGCTTTTTTTAGTGTTCTAAATTTATCATTGTCTTCCAGTTTGGCTATTATTCACAAAATTATTAAGAATTATGAGCCTTTATGTGCCCTTTATGATCTATAGTTTAGGCCTACTTTTCTTAATGACTCCAATGCATCAGATATAATCACTTCAGGTGTATTAGAGGTTCTCCTTCCCTTGTGTGTCTTTCCAGTCTTTTTAGAGTAGGACTCCCTAAAGCACTGAGGCTGTAGAAATCTCTTATAAATAAGTTTTGCATTGACCTGACTCACATATATCCTTTCAAGCTCCCTTGCATCCTTCCATTTTGTAGTAAATGGAGACTTTATAGATGTTCTGCTATAACAAATGCTTAGTTTGTTCCTTTAACATACTTCTATGAAAATCAAACCAAGAATAAAAAGAATGGCATATTTCTGTTTCCACACACAGTCATGTGCCTCTGTGTATACAGAGCACATTATTTGTTTTTATTTTGTACATGTGAATAGTTTCTTCTTCTGTCTCTCTGTTGCCCAATGACTACCAGATAATGTGAATTATCACTGACCTCAGTATGTCTAATGGGCGAATAAGTAATGTAGATTATCCATATCATTGCATCTGCATTGATATAAAGTATAAAATTGTAGAAAAATTTACTTATAATTGAATTCAGCCCTGTTGCTCAGTTTCCTTTTAATTTGCCTTTATTTGGTACCCAGTTCTATGTATATAAGTCAAAACTTGAGTGATTTTATTTTTTTATTTTTTATTTTTTATTTTTTTGGCCACAACGTGTGGCTTGTGGGAACTTAGTTCCCCGACCAGGGATCAAACCCATGCCCCCTGCAGTGGAAGCGCAGAGTCTTAACCGCTGGACCGCCAGGGAAGTCCTGAATTTGAGTGGTTTTAAAATACTTATATAGTAAGATATTGAATGCAGTGGATTTTATTATGTCCCAACTGCTCATGACAATTCCTACAAGTTTAGGAATTCCTACATGACTCTTACTATCTTGGGTTCTTATTTTGATTAAACTCTTGCCATTTAAAAATTATACTCTGTGAGAAACAGAGACATAGATGTAGAGAACAAACGTATGGACACCAAGGGGGGTAAGGGGGCTGGTGGTGGTGGTGGGATAAACTCGGAGATTGGGATTGACATGTATACACTAATACGTATAAAATAGATAACTAATAAGAACCTGCTGTATAAAAAAATAAAATAAAAATTTTTTAAAATGTATCAACCCCCAGCAACACATTAAAAAAAAAGAAATTATACCCTGAGAAATAGGAACAGACCGTTAACTGGTTTGACGTATTTGGTGGGTTACACTTAAATCTTTCAGTGTGTTTTTAGTGAGTCTAGAATTCTAAGATAGGACTTAGTGATGACCTTTTAAAGACAGAACTCCCATAGACAGATAGTCTGCTCCATGACAACAAAACGTTTATCAGATGGAGCTGCCGGTCGCATTGGAAATATGGTAAAAAATGAGGAAACCAAAGCCGTTCTTTGTCATTACTGAAAGCAGCTGAACTAGATTCCTGCCAGGTGGTGGGAAATAGTTTCATGCAAGGAAGATACTGTATGGTACTATTCTTAATATCTTATGAATAATGTGCTTAGTTTTGGCTTGGAATTTTTATTTTTGCTTCAGAACATCATTGTCTACCAAATTTTATTTTTATATTCATTAACATTTGGTTAAGTAAATAAAGCCAATAAACTCAGAGTTTATTCACTAAAGGGTAGAAAGGTCCCTAAATCACTTTGGGTTTAGAAGTGTGGTATTCTAAAAGGTACTTCGGTAGGTCACACAGAAAGCTCATTTTGTGTTGCCATTATTATAGGATGCTTTCACATGCTTTCCTCCCTCAGTGGGTGAGTCCTTGAGAGTCTGTAAATGTGTGCTGTCAAGTTCTCAGTCCTTACTCATCAGAGTCTTTTTTGCTTCTGGGTATTTTGTTGTTTGTAAATACTTCTGTGCGTAATTTTTAAAATTTAATAATATTAACAAGTTTCCTATAGTGAAATATCAGTGTCAGAAACTCATCTTAAGCCCTTCATTTTTTTTTTTTTTTTTTTTTTTTTTTTTT